ATGGCCTGAGAGACTTATCTCCTTCCCCAGATGGGGAAATTTTCAGCAATTACTCCTCAATGACACTTTCTATCCCTTTTTTCTCTCTCTTCTTCTTCTGGTACCCCTATAATGTGAATATTGTTCTGTTTGGATTGGTCACACAGTTCTCTCAATATTCTTTCATTCTTAGAGATTCTTTTTTCTCTCTATGCCTCAGCTTCTTTGTATTCCTCTTCTCTAATTTGTATTCCATTTACCATCTCTTCTACTACATCTAATATGCTTTTACATCCCACATTTGTATGTTTCATTTCAGATATGGAATTTCTTAACGATTGAATCTCCTTCTTAAATTCATTCCTGAGTTCTTGAATATTTTTCTGTATCTCCATACACATGTTTATGATTTTTATTTTGATCTCTCTTTCAGGAAGATTGGTGAGTTCAGTTTCATTTGGCCCTTTTTCTGGGGTTTGTGAGATTTTGGTCTGAACCAGGTTCTTTTGACATTTCTTATTTTTGTGTGGTGCCCTCTAGTGCCCAGAAGCTCCAGTCTCTGGAGCTGCTCAGCCCCTAGAGTGAGGTTGGGGGTCATAGGGGAGCGGAGCTGGTGCCTGGGGGGAGGAAATATCTCTTTCCTGATTCCTGTCTGCCATGCCTGTCTCCAGTATCATAGCCACTGGGCCAATCACACAGGTGTAAGCCTCTGTGCTTTGCATCTCTAGCTGTTGTAGGCTGGGCCTCCCTCTGACTGGCCTGATGCCAGTGCAGTGACTGCTGGTTTGCAAGCCGGTGCTGTCAGGCCAGGAGAAAGGCTCAGCAGACTGCGTATCACAGTGGGGGGCCTCAGAGCTGAGTAGCCAGCCAGGGGGTGGAGCGCCTGAAGCTCCTCAAAGTTCCCAACCTGCTGGGCAGAACGCACCCAGACAACCTTGTTCCCCTATCCCTTCTCCCGCACAGCAAGCTCCATGCAAACCCCGCCCCTTCAGCAGCCCTCTTGTCACTAGGAAGCCTCTCAGACCACCTGTGTTTCCCTTGTCCCAGAGCGGCCGGGTGTGGATCTCATCCTCCACAAACAGCCGGTGTCTGTCTCTCAAGCACTCTGCCTGTCCCAGCTCCCCATCCTCCAGAGCACCACACAATGTAGGTCTGTGTTCCAAAGCAGATCTCCAGGGCTAGGTGTTAAGCAGTCCCAGGCTTCCACCCCCTCCCTGCTCCATTTCTCTTCCTCCTGCCAGTGAGCTGGGGTAGGGGAAGGTCCTGGGTCCCGCTGGATCAAGGCTTTGGTATGTTGCCCTGTTTCATGAGGTCTGCTCTGTTCATGATGTCTGTATACAGTCTGGTTCAGCCTTCATTCCTGTTGCTCTTTTAGGGTTAGTTGTATTAACTATATTTTCACACTATCTGTGGTTTTGGGAGGAGTTCTATGTCTCACCTTTCATGCCACCATCTTGAATCTTCAACACTGCCTCCCAAGAAACCTTTTTTCTAAAACCACTTCAAGGGCACAGGGCTCTGCAGAAGGGACTTGGGAAATAGTTAACTGTGCCATCTTGCCTCATGTGGCATTGTTTATATTTTCAGAAACTTGAGTTTAATTGCTGTCCATTAGATGGTTAAGCCAAATTTGTGTTTCCTGTCTTCAGTGGCTAGATATTGAGGTTGGTTCCAATTTTTCAGCCTTACTGATAATTCTAGAATGCATTCTGGTTACTTTGTGACCATCTCTGATTGTTCATTTTGGAGGTAGAATTGTTGAATCAAAACGTCTAAACATTTTCATAACTCTCCATATACATGGTCCAGTTGCTTTCCGGAAAGGTTGTGCCCACTTATCCTTCTGCTGGTTGCTGAAAGTGGAGTTAGGGTTAGTATCCATCTGTGGAAGGTGAGAAATCTGAGAAGCTTGAAGACCATTCCCTTCCCTCTTATCCTGTGCACAGCCAGCAATTAAAAAACAGAGTCACACACACTAATGACTTACACAGCCATTTATTTCGAGGGGACATGTTGACTTTTCACAAATCCCTATGCTTCTTCTAAATAATTAAATGTCACCTGAGCATTATCTGAATACTTTAATTTGGTATTCTAGATGCTTTGTTGGATAGTTAGGGAAGAAGAGGTTCTGAATTGGTTTCTGTTGTGCTCATTTTCAAAGAGCCTTGCAAGATGAGATTTTTAAAAACTTGTGTCAACCTCCTGAGGTTGTGCACTTGGTTTTTAGAAGAATCTTATATGTGAATTTTTCATCAGTCTTATTTCTGACCCCACGGAAAATGAGTTATGTAGCTTTGAGTATTGAGGCCAATTGTGCTGCTTTGTTTTATATTTGTACGGGGAAAAGTGTGCACATTGTACGTTAGAAGTGATTTACCTTTATGTCCTCCACAAATATTATCCTTTGGTCAATGCATTATTGGGTTTTGGAACTGAGATGTGGACTTCTAACTCATTAAAACTCCCAAGTCCCCAGCAATGAAGTCATTAAATGGTTTTACCAACAGATTTATTTCAAAATGATTCCATTTGGAGGAAGGAAAGAACAAGTAATGCATTATATACAAAGATCTATTCAATAATTAATGAGACCTGTACTCCAGTGATCATTTTAGATTCAGTTCATGGTGTTATAGCTAAAAATGAACTCTGTCTTAGATGTTCACAATTTGCTCCTCTGTGCTAGGTCCACAAGTATCTTGATTTTTGAGATATAAATTTTGTATCTGCTTGATGCGTTTAAGTGGACTTTTCTAATATGGAGGCGATTTTGAAAAGAATGGGTATTTTATGTAATTGGAACAAAAGGACACTTTACATGCATTCCTTACCCTTTGCAAAGCAGGAATGTTTCAAAATACATTGCATTTTCCTCCCTTTGGGCAGGAATTCTGATTTTGTTTTCTGCATGTGGAGGGAACTGCCAAAGGATGGATTAAAAATAGATTTATTGATGCCTGACAATTACAACAAGCCCTGTTAGGCAGTTGGTGGATATGGAAAGGCTCACATGGTAAATGGCTTGCTGTCCTCCAGTGAGTCCTGGCGAGCGACCAGGGCCCTTCAGGGGGAACTCCTGGGTTCATCCTGAGTTCCATTCAACGCATTCCCTTTTCTGGAAGCCACAAAGGCACCAGAGCCATTTTTCTTTAAGGCGGAGGCATGCACACAGGCCCTGAGCTGGTAAAGAGCAGACCCCTTCCTTCCACACCTCTTTGCTGTGCCTGATTCTTCAGTGCTTTGGAAGGGGGAGCTCAGGAGTGATGTGCTTCAGATTTCCAAACAGGCTCCTTTCAATTTGGCAAGCATATTTATTCAATGATAAGTACTGTGCGGAAAATAAAAATGAATGAGTGATGGCTTTTTTTTTGCTGAAAAAGCTTCAGAATCCATCCTTCCTGCCTTGCTCACCCCTCCTCCACTCCCCAGTAAAAATGGCTGCTTTTCTAAAACTTAAAGGCCATTTTATTTACAAAAATCACTGAAAAAGTTAAACATACAGGCTCTTATCGTATATAAGTATCATAAGGGAAGTGTACACATCACTAAAAATCTCACTGTTAACATTTTGAGAAACATGTTATACTGACACACAGACACATTTTACCCTGAATAATATGCTCTTCTGAGGCTAATTTTTTCATTTAACAGAATGTCAACGATACCTTCTCTTATAAGTAAAAGTCCTCACTATCATTTTAATGGTTGCAGAATATTCCACTATATGTATAATTTCTTTATCCATTCATTGATGGACACTGAGGTTGTTTCCATGTCTTGTCTGTGGATAATGCTTCAGTGAACATGGGAATGCAAAGATCTCTTTGAGGTACTGATTTCATTTCATTTGGGTATATACCCAAAAGGAGAATTGCTGGATCATATGGTAGTTCTATTTTTAGTTTTTTGAAGAACCTTCATACTGTTTTCCATGGTAGCTGCACCAATTTAGATTCCTACCAATAGTGCACAAGGGTTCCCCTTTTCTCCACATCCTCACCAGCACTCACTGCCTTTTATTTACTTATTTTTGGATAACAGCCATCCTGTCAGATGTGAGGTGATATCTCTTGTGGTTTTGATTTGCATTTCCCTGATGATTAGTGACACTGATCATCTTTTTTTTAAAGTTTTAGAATACATTCCCACATGGTGTATGAGAGTGCCTCCCTTCCCAAATACACACCAATACTGGACATGAGAAATCTTTTTGATATTTAAAAATTAATACATACCTTATCATTGATTTTATTTTCATTTCTTTTACCATTGTTGAACATGTTTAAAATTATTTATTGGCAACTTATAACTCTTCCTCTGTGATTTATTTACATATATCCTTTGTCTGTGTTTCTATTGAGCTTTTTCTGATTTTCAAAACCCCTCCATGATGTTAAAATATATTCAAAGATATACTCTTCAAAATATACATAAAATTTGTGTGTATCAGAGTAATTATCTATCCTGCTTAGGGATAAATGATTCTAGAGACCAGTGAAATCTGCTTTGTTTACATTTGGGAGTGAAGCTCACCTATCTCCCCATGTGTCGTGACCGGAGGGACAGCAGCCGCCCAGACCTGAGGGTGGGTTGTCGAGGTGCCCGTGCTCTGGTGTCCCTCCTTAATGGCTCAGCCAGGGTCATGTGATCTCTGCTAGTCTCCTGTTATTCTCCCCTTGGCAAACATCTTTTTTTACCACTGTGTAATTCTAATGAGATTGCCCTGGGTTAGTCATACTGGATAAGTGATGCACAATAGAGGAAAGAAAATTCACAGGAGAGCAACATTTAAAATAAAATTTAGTTTTGGCCTTCGCCCAAGAGTGAGTTTCATGGTCTGTCAACCACAAGTGTATGTGCAGTCAAGGAGGAAATTTTATTGCCTAATATGAACCCTGGGAAAATTCTAGGGGAATTCAGGAATCCTATAAGGATAATGTAAGATAAAAATTTTAGATTTAATTTGGGGTTGCATAAAATATGTTCACTTTGGCTTAAAACTATTCATTGTCCAACAGTTCCATTCACTGGCTCCCATGTACTACCGTGGATCTGCTGCAGCTGTCATAGTATATGATATTACCAAACAGGTAAGAATGTTCCTTTATACTTAGAAGTAGATGCCCTTTATGGTGATTCTTTGCATTAGAAAGACAAAAGCAGAGACTTCACTGCTCCAGTCTTGACAATAGCCTGGAAGGAGATTTCACTGTATGGTGGTAAGGAATAATGAATACTATATATTGAGTTTATTTCACCTATATGTAGAAAAGCATTTCAAATTTATCTGCTAAGTTAAATAAGCAACAATGATCATTCATATTTAAAATTGACTATCTGTAGAGACAAGTTTATGCCTGCTAGTGCTATTCTCCAGAATATCAGCTTTTTAGGAAAGGAAAATTATTTTTAAGTTCTGTACATTTTATAATTATGGAATATTTATTTTCTATTCATGTTTCAACCGCAGTACTTAAAATGCCAAGGATAATGTTTCTGCATGTACAGCGTGTTCACCCAAATATAATAAACGTATTTTTAGTTACCACGATGAGGATCTAGGATATCTGTCAGCATGTCGCTGCAGTGGTTTGCTGACATTTTTCTTTCCACTCCTGGAGTGCTGACTCAGGGCGTGGAACTGCTAGTTTAATGATCCATCACTTACCATCCATGTATTCCTGATGATTTCTGTGCTGACTGTCTTGGCTTGCTTCCTGGAGAATAGCTCTAAGTCAAGGGCATAAAGGAAAACAGGACTCTGAAGTGTGTGTGTTTATTTTTTTCTCTTTTTCTTTCCTGAAGTAAGCATGGGCATTGTCTTAGTCCTATGACTTGGTCCTTTTTTGTGTTGAGTCAGGCTATAATTTTAAGTTAATGTTGTTTATAGAAGAAAATTACCAGTATGATTTTCTTAGCTTCAAAAAATGTTTAGTTTTAGGAAAGAAACTTCTATGGCTATTTAAGTATAATTAGCTAATATTAAATTTAAGCCAAGATAGGGATAATATGTTAAACTATGTGAGTCTCCTGAAAAATGTTTTCCTTTTTTAAATTATGTTGGCTTTGTTCTTCTACTTGAAATATTATATTGGTGGGTCTCTCCAATGATTGATTTACACTTTTGGTTTAGGATTCATTTCATACCTTGAAGAAATGGGTGAAAGAACTGAAAGAACATGGTCCAGAAAACATTGTAATGGCTATTGCTGGAAATAAGTGTGATCTCTCAGATATCAGGTAAGAAGCATGAAATATTTTGTAGTTAATATCCTCCATTGCTGAATGTCCATGTGTAAAAAGCTGTCATGCCTGTGTTATGTGTGCTCTGAGTGTAATTGAATCAATGAGCATTCTTTTGTGGTTAAGGTGGTATTATACAACCACAGTAGAGGTAAGGGAAAATAATAGGGAAATGCAAGTTTTATGGACCGCTGAGCAATGAATATTAAAACCAAATCTCCTATACAGGGCACAGTAACGTTCTGACTCTAGATGTCTTTCTGTTGAATAGTTTTATTATTTTTATTGTTGCCTTTCCATTATTGTTGTCATTACTACTATCACAATTTTAGTAACATTTTCATATGGAAAGGCAGATTAGAATTCTTAACATTCTCCATAGCATCCCTGTTTGTTTTAGTTCTAGACTTTAGCTTCAGGGTGAAGTCAAATCTATATAATCTCACACTTATGGTCTAAGATCTGTATGTGATGCATCATACATGAACACTTTGGTTTCTCCCAGAGACAGATTGTTGAACTTCCTTTACCTGGAGAGAGGTTTGTAGGGACCTCGTCCACATGGCCTAGAGATTTGATGACAGTTTTTATAGCTTGATCAGCTAGCTGTTTTTACTAAATAAAAATGTTGTAAAAAAGGAAATAGTGAATTTATGTTGTCCCCATTCCCATGGTTAATTATCAGCAATTCCAGTAGTTAATTTTCATGAAGATGACACCATGCTTCAAGTTCTACTAATCCAAATGTGATTAAGCCAAAGTTTAATGAACAATGAAAATAGATCTTTCAAAAGCTCTTAACATGGCCTTTGACAACTTGCTTTGTTTCTTTGGGCTTTCAGAAGTTTTATATCACATTACATCAGGTTGGTTTATAATAACAGCTATAAACACCACTTAGTCATTTGTTTTTCTGGGGGCTGGACAAATCTTTACGTTTCCTGGACTTAGTTCAGATCTCTGCCTTCTTTACCGTAATCCTAAAACAGCTTGGTTGTCTAGAATTGCCAGTAGAATCCCTTTAATTTTTGTCATGGGATGGTGGGGGTGGGGAGAGAGTCTTTGATGAGAGAAGGTGCTATCATCTGACACCATCGAATTACAGCAAAGGTGCGACTTTGGGTGAAAGTAAGCCTTGTAGGTCGTGGGAGAGCTGGTGGACTAGAATTTAAGCAGAAAATGAATTAAAGGTGAATGGAATCAGTCAGGACTCTTGGTTACATGGAACTGACACTTAATTGAAATTAATTTCAGGAAAAAGGGGAATTTTTTGGAAGGTACTGGTAAAACCCTTTTTTACCACATGGTAAAAAAAAACAAGGCTTCCTTTAGCTCCGGTATTTGATATGTTCTGTCTTTAGTCTCTGGAAAGATGTTGGCTTGGCATTCTCTCTGTTTCTAGTCTGAATTGCCATGGAAGGACTTCCCCACATCATCACAAGGCATTTGTGGCCAAGGCTAGGGATCTGAATGGAACAAAATGATTTTTTGTCACTATAACCATAGGAGAAGGGGGGTGGGTGGTCTTGAAGAGGAAAGTGCCTAGGAAAGTACAGCCTGGCCAGACAAAACATGTATGCACCATGTGGGATTAGCTGCCAGCACCTGAAGACGTACCATTTCTCAGGGTAGAGTTCACCTTTTATACAATGGTGTCGCATTCTCCTTAACATGCGTTCTGATTTGTGCCCAGCCAGTTCCTATATATACAGTTTCCAAAATGCCCCAGCTAACACAATTTATCCATCTCACTGCCAACTGTAAATTCACTCACTGCTGCTCCTTTCTCAATGGGAGAAAATCCAAGACACCCAGTGTTGACATCATTGGGCCACTGTCCCACAAGTCCAAGTTCTCTGGTTAATACCCTTTCACCTCTAGGTTGGTCTCTGTGAGGTCTGAATGTGGCTTCCTGAGATCTTGCAGCTGTGATTTAAAGAGTGGAATATATACATTTTGTTACACATGAAGTTATTTTAGATGGTACTTGTTACTGTATCTTGCAGCAAGGAAATAATTCCCTTTGCAATTTTCCTTTGAATGTCTAATTAAGTTAGAGAGAAAGACTACTCTGATTAAGTTAGAGAGAAAGACTAGTTTGATGCTAGTAAATTTTTTATTTTAAAGCATTTATTAATTCTATAATTTAAATTTTTACTGTATTTATAAATATATTCTACTGAGATAATTTACATACCATAAAATCCACCTGTTTTAAGTATATAGGGCAATGAACTTTAGTATATTTATAGAGTGGTACAGTCATCATCACATCTAATTTTAGAACATTCTGTCACCGTACAAAGAAACATCATGCCAATTTACAGTCATTCCCAATCTCTGTCCCCTTCTAGCCCTGGAAACCACTAGTCTACCTTTTTGTTTTTACAAATTTATTTTTTTGGACATTTTGTATAAATGGGATCATGCAATATGTGTGGTCTTTTGTGACTGGCTTCTTTCATTTAGCGTGATGCTCATCCATGTTGTAGCATGAAGTAGTAAGTACTTCATTCATTTTTATGGCTAAATCTTTTTCCATGTGGATATCTGATTCTCAGCATCATTTTGAAAAGATAATTTTTCCAATTGAATTTTCTTGGCACTTTTGTAAAAAATTAATTGACCATAAATGTAGTCTTATCTTGGGGCTCTTAATTCTGTTCAGTTGATCTATTCATCCTATGTCAACACCACATTATTTTGATTGCTATAGAGTTATAGTTTGAAATTGGGAATTGTTAGTCTTTCTCATTTACTTCTTTTTCAGGATTGTCTGACCATTCTGGGTCCATTAGATTTCCATATGAATTTTAGGATCCACTTCTCAATTTCTGCAAAAAAAAGGCAGCTGGAATTTTAATAGAGACTGTTGAATCTTTGGAGCAATTTGGAGATTATTTACAATTTAACAATGTCAAGTCTTCTAATCCATAAATATGATTCTTTCCATTTTAGTTAATCTTCTTTAATTTCATTTAGCAATGTTTTATAATTTTCAGTATACTAGTCTTGCATTTCTTTTATTATCTATTCCTAGGTATTTGACTTTTTCTTGATATTATTGTGATTGGGATTGTTTGGTAATTTCATTTATGTCATGTTCATTGCCAGTGTATTCACGATTATGTTGTCTGTGGATAGAGACAGTTTTACTTCTTCCTTTCCAATCTGGGTGCCTTTTATTTCTTTTTCTTTTCTAGTTACCCTTCCTGGAACCTACAATACAATGTTGAATAGAAATGTTGAGAGCAGACATTGTTGTCTTCTTTCTGATCTCAGGGCCAAAGCATTTAGTTGTTCTCAGTAACTGTGATGTTAGCTATATGCTTTTTTATATAGATCTGCTTTATCAGCTTGAGGAATTTCCCTTTTATTCCTTGTTTATTGAGTTGTTTTTTAAATCATGAATGAATTTTGGATATTGTCAAATGCTTTATCTGCATATTTTGAGATGATCATGTGGGTTTTATCATTTATTCTGTTAATATAATATATTACATCTGTTGATTTTTAGATGTTAAACTAGCCTTGCATTCCTGGGATTCCATGATGCACAATCCTTACTATATGTTGGTGAGTTCATTTTGCCAGTATTTTGTTGAGGATTTGTGTGTCTTTATTCATAAGGGATATTAGTCTGTAGTTTTCCTTTGTCTGGTAATGTCTTTGGTATTAGTATCAAGGCAATACAGAATGAGTTGACAAGTGTTCCCTCCGCTTTTGTTTTCTAGAAAAGTTTATGAAGCACTGGTATTAATTCTTCTTTAAATGTTTGATAAAATCACCATTGAAGCCATCTGGACTCAGACTTTTCTTTCTGGAAGACTTTAAACTACTAATCAAATCTCTTTACTTGCTATACATATACTCAGGTTTTCTATTATTTCTTGAGTTTGAGTAATTTATGTATTTTTAGGAATTCATCCATTTCATCTAAGTTATCAGATTTGTTTGTGTGGCTCATAGTATTTGCTTATAGTTCTTTTCATTTCTGTAAGATTAGTAATGACATCTACTCTTTCATTCCTGATTTTAGAAATTTTAGTCTTCTTTCTATTTCCTTGTAGAATTTGTTTGTTGATTTTTTTCAAAGAATCAAAATTTAGTTCCACTGATTTATTTCTATTGTTTTTCTGTTTTCATCTATGTCCTCTCTGTTCATGATTTCCTTCCTTCTGTTTGGTTTAGGTTTACATTGCTCCTCTTTCTCTAATTTTTTAAAGTAGAAGGTTAGCATATTTATTTAGGAGAGAGAGAGATAGAGTGCAGGCCAAAGGTTAAGGGCCTTCTGCAGACAACTGTATATAGCTAGAATTTAACTCTATTTTGTCTTTATTATATTTATTTTTTACAATTAAATTATTTTTATGACAACTGGCACTAGTGTTACATTTGTTATAGGGATATAAAATTATTTCAAAATATTTAAAAAGTTGATTTATGCACATGACATGATTGTCTACAAAGAAACTCCCAAGGAATATACCAAAAAACTCCTAAAACTAATAAGTTGGTTCAACAAAGTTGCAGGATACCAGATCAACACAAAAATAAGTCACATTTCTATATACTAAAAATGAATGTGCAGAAACTGAAATTAAAAACACAATACACTTTATAATAGCTCCAAAGAAAATGAAATACTTGAGTATCTACTTACCAAAACATGTACAAGATCTGTATGCTGAAAATTATAAGATCTTTATGAAAGAAATCAAACAAGACTTGAATAAGTGGAGGGACATACGTGTTCATGAATTAGAAGTCTTAACATAGTAAAGATGTCAGTTTTCCCCAAATTGATCTGTAGGTTTAATGTTGTGCCTATTACCAATTTAGCAAGGTTTTTTGTAAATATAAATAAGCTTATCCTAAAGCTTATATAGAAAGATGTAGACAGTAGAATAGTGAAAACAGTATTGACAAAGAAGAATATAGTGGAAGAGTTCACTCTGTGCTATATTAAGACTTACTAGATAGCTACAGAAATCATG